GTGTGTGTGTGTGTGTGTGTGTCCACCCATGCATCAATCTTAGGGTTTGGACTCAGGGCCTTGGCACTGTCTCTGAGTTTTTTTGCTCAAGGCTGGTACTCTACCACTTGAAGCCATGGCTTCACTTCCAGCTTGGGGATAAGAATCTCATGGACTCCTGGGCATGCCTATAATCCTAGCTACTCAGGAGGCTAAGATCTGAGGATTGTGGTTTGAAGCTAGCTGGGTTAGAAACTGTGAGACGCTTGATCTCCAATTAATCACCAGAACTGGAAGTGGAGCTGTGGCTCAAAGTGGTAGAGTGCCACCCTTGAGCAAAAATGCTTGAACCCTGCCATGGGTTCATGTTCCATAATTAAAACCCTAACCCTTTACCCCCACCCCACTCCCCAAAAAAATCTCATGGACTTTCCTGCCTGGGATAGCTTTCAAGCTGCAGTCCTCCTGAGTAGCTAGGATTATAGGCATGAGCTACCAGCACCCAGCTATATATTTATTTATTGGTTTTTGTTGTTGTTGTTATTGTTTTGGGCAGCCCTGGGCTTGAACATAGGGTCTGAGCATTGTTCCTGAGCTTCTTTGGCTCAAGACTAACACTCTACCACTTGTGTAACAGCTCTGCTTTCAATGTTTTTTTTTTTTTTTTTGTTGTTGGTTGTGGGGCTTGAACTCAGGGCCTGGACACTGTCTCTGAGGTTTTTCGCTCAAGGCTACCATTCTACCACTTCTAGTTTTCTGGTGTTTAATTGGAAATGAGTCTCACAGCTTGGCACCGGTGGCTCATGCCTGTAATCCTAGCTACTCAAGAGGCTGAGATCTGAGAATCGTGGTTCAAAGTCAGCCCAGGCAGAAAAATCTATGAGACTCTTACTTCCCATTAACCACCAGAAAACTGGAAATAGTGCTGTGGCTCAAGTGGTAGAGCACTAGTCTTGAGCTGAAGAGCTCAGGGATAGCACCCAGGCCCAGAGTTCAAGCCCTATGACCAACAACAACAACAAAAAGTCTCACAGACTTTTCTGCCTGGGCTGCTTTTGAATCTCTATCCTCAGATCTCAGCCTCCTGAGTGGTGAGGATTATAGGCATGAGCCACCAGCACCAGGCAACAATTATTTTTTTTTTGAATTTTTTTTTTTGGGGTGGTCTGGTCGTGGGGCCTGAACTCTGGCCTGGGCGCTGTCCCTCAGCTCTTCAGCTCAAGGCTAGCGCTCTACCACTTGTGAGCCCATTGCCACTTCTGGCTTTTTTTTTTTCCCTGCTTATGTGGTGCTGAGGAATCGAACTCAGGGCCTCATACATGCAAGGCAAGCACTCTACCACTGAGCTACCTTCCCAGCCTGACAATTTATTTTTAATAGAATAAAATTTGTGCATCTCTGTAAATACATCCAAAATTATAAAGGGCGTAACAATATTTGGGAAACCGGAATGGGGTGAGGGATAAATAAGGGACATTTTAGGCTTATATGTTCAGAATGAATTCTGAACAGTTGTGTGGGGGAGGGGGTGCGCGTGCATGCACATTGGTGGAGGTATATCTGGTTATTCACATGCACTCATTTTCAGTGTGAATTTGTAATGACTACATTTTCTTTTGCTTACTTTCCTTTGTAACAGGCAGCCTTGGGAATTAGCACTCTGCTGATGTACGTTCCAACTCCTTTGGCTGCCACTCATCAGTCAGGCTCCCTGGCTTTGCTTAGTGGTGCCCTTTGGCTCATGAACGAACTCAGAAGAGTCCCGAAATAATTCTCAGAAGATCAGCTTCCCAAGACTGAAACTGCTTCAAGACACTTAAGAGAGCTCAAGTACTTGGCCTTTTCTACGATGGCCTTGGCATGCCAAGTGGTTTCCAAATTGGTCAACTTATTTAGAACTCTTTGCCTGTTTTGGTCACTGGATCAAGAATGTTATTAAGTATGGTTACACTGAAGGTTCCTTTCTAAATTTTTCATGTTGACAATCAGGTTTCATGTGTAAAAAGAAATGTTTGGTATTTGCTGCTGCTTAATAGGCTGTGCTTTGGTGTTTTTAATATTAGTAAGATCTTGGCTATATGTATGACTTCTGTGTCCTTGTGTTCCTAAGTACTGTCCACTGATTAGCTGTGGACAATGACAGACTAGAGAGCAGTTGCCCCAGCTAAGGAGCCAAACCAGCCTACTGGCTTACTAGCCGACTGAGTGCTGGCCTCTTGCTAACTTCTAGCATCCTCAGATCTAGATTTTTAAAAATCTAGATTAACTGTTGGCAACTCAGTTTTTTTCATGTTCGGCACACTTAGCATGTACAGTAGGCATATATGATCTGAGGTTTCCCATTAGCCATTTTTAAGCTAGATGGTATCATTTCCCTTTCCACTCCAATATAGTGTGCCCTCTATTATACCATTTTCAGATGTTCTTAGCAACACAAAGGTAGCTACTTTTCTTTGATTTTCCAGAAATTCCAGACCCTGGTAGGTAGGTTGAAGCCTAGAAGCAGGTTCCAATTTGTCTCATACTAGGATCTTTTTTTTTTTTAAATCATATTTTCTAGTTCAGCACTAGTAGCCACTGTAATCCTAGCTACTTAGGAGACTGAGCTTTGAGGATCACAGTTCAGTCTGAAACCGTCTTTAGCAGACAAATCTCCAATTAACCAGCAAAATGTTAAAAGTGGAGGTATGGCTGAAGTGGTAGAACGCTAGCCTTGAGAGAAAAAAACCAAGGGAGATTTCAAGGCCTGCATTAAAGTTCCATTACCAGCACAGGGGAAAACAAAACCTAGAGGCCCCACACCAATGAAATCCCAAACTCTGGGAGCAGTGGTATGCTAGTTTGGCTAGTTTTTACATTCCCCACGTGATTCCAGTGGGCATATAATTTCTGGCCAAGCTTATTCTCATTCCTTTCAAACTTCTTCACACCCTCCCTATCTCATTTAATATGCTATGTGATCTTGTTTGTATGACAACAGGATATTATCTCCTTTAGCTAGTAGAATTCTTCAAAGGAAAGGAATTGCAGTCATCTGACAGGTTCCAACACTGTCATCTCCAGATTCTCATATGTAGTCAATCCTTAGCTAAAAACAGACAGCAGAGGGCAGTATAAGCTAACCACAAACAGTTTACCCAGAAAATAGCAACTCATGAGTAAGTTCACATTTCAGATGTTTTACTTCATTTTTATTTATTACAGCTGATTAATGTTTGATCATACATCTCATATTTAGCTATATAACTGCATTATGCTTCCCATGAGTCCCTGGTGAATAGCAACCACCTTATTTTTGTATTTGTGTTTTCTCAGTGTAACCAGACACATACTAACTACTGAATGGAGTGGATGAACTAATGGAAAATGGAAGATTATTCAATAATGTCCCAAAGGCCTCTTTTAAAAGTCATCACAGTTCTAAAGGATTAACTGAATTGCCTTTGAATTTTCAAGTTCTCTCAATTCTGTGAAGTTTTTAAACTTGAAGGAAATTAAAACACAATTATATCAGTCCACTTAGACATTTTTGTCTTTACCCCACACTGACTTTCGCTGTTCACTGTCAGAGATAAAGATTAAAAACTGCCTGAAGTGATAGTAGTTGCCAACACTAACCATTTTTGGCTAACCAGGTTACTTGCAGATCTCCTTTCTGGTCCTGGAGTGAATGGTGGATAGTTTGTGGCCATGTCTCTGCATAAGGGCTACTGCATCACCTCTCTAACATACTTTGCACGTTTTCCTCAATATTGACTCGGTGTTTATCAGTGAGAATTTTGAGTATTCTACAAAATTGTTCTTATTTAATGTGAAGCATCTGAAAAACAGTCTTCACAGCCACCCAGAGCGATGCAACAGTCAGACTTTGGCTTTTTAAGTATAGAGTATCTATTGTTGTGGGTTATAATAAAAAGTTGCCTTTCAGTGTACTCTGAGCAAGGTAGAAACATGATGTATACCTTGGAGCTTCTGCTAGTAGGGAAATGTGAAATGAGAATTTCAAGCACAGCATAATAAATAGAGGGTTTGTCTGGGATCTATGGTAGCAAAGAAAGACTTTTATGAGCCTAATAAGGGGCATATCCTTCACCACCAGTGGGACGAAACTCTGGCAGGTGCTCCACAGGAGCAGTTGCTTGGGAAAATACCATGATACCTTACTTGGATTATGCAAGTTTGGATTTAGAATGTTCCCAGAAGGTCAAAGTGTTAAAACCTTGGTCCTGAGGATGACACTACTGGGAAGTGCTAGGACCTTTACAGGGTACGTTTTTGCAGGAGATCTATACGTCATTGGAGTCTGCCCCTAAAGGGAATTGTGGGACTCTAGATACGCCCTCTCTTATTCAGCTTCTTGGTCATGAGGCAAACAGTTTAAATCTATTACACATTCCTACCACAATAAAGCAAAAGGGGGCACTGGATCATGGAATCCACAGAAGTAAGTTAAACTTTTGCTCTTAATTGTCTCAAGTCCTTAGAGTGCTGGAAAGCTGACTGATGGAAGTGGAGAGGAGTGGTAAGGGGGTGGGGAGGGCAGCTGCCCTACTTTTGACGGGTAGCTCAGGAACAGACTTGTCATCAGACTTGACTGACATCATGCATGCATGGCTATAAACATCCTATGATTCAGAAGAGTTTTCAACTTTGGTCTTTGTAAAAATGGTGAAGAAATAATTTTATTACATTAAAAATGAAAACCATTACACTACCAGTGATTGCTCAGTCTTATAGATAAAAATACTTCCTTATTGCTCAGATTTTCAAGAAATAAAACAAAAAGTCAACTGCTGTATTTTTCATTCTCTCTCCCTCTAATTATGGAACTGGCAGAGTAGGCAATAATAAAATACTTGGGCATAACAAAAATGTTAACATATAGTCTATTAGGTTACTTCAAAAAAAGAAAGACATAGCAAAGTCAAATGAAGCTTTAACAAGCCACCTGCCAAAACAACCACAAGGATCACCACACACTCAAACACAGTGCTACAACAGTTCAACGTAGATCAGATACAAGTCAGAACAGAGAAAACCGGGGACAAGCACAAGAAACACAGATCAGGGGCTGGGAAGGTGGCTCGGTGGTAGAGCGCTTACCTTGCATGCATGAGGCCCTGGGTTCAATTCCCCAGTACCACATAAGCAAAAAGAAAAAAGCCGGAAGTGGCGCTGTGGCTCAAGAGGTAGAGCACTAGCCTTGAGCTGAAGAGCTGAGGGACAGTGCTCAGGCCCAGAGTTCAGGCCCCACAACCAGACCCCCCCCTTAAAAAAAAAAAAGGAAACACAGAACATTACCCAACAGTATTTGATTTCAGATATATTTACTGTTTGTAAAAATGCTTGATATTGTCAATCAAAGGAGCTAAGATGTTGTTTTCAGTCCTTATTTTTTTAACAGTATTTTTTTTTAATAGAACACCAACAAAATCCTCACAAGCTTGACATAAGTGTACTGTTCCAATGGCAAGATCTGAGGCTAGTCTAATCCAAGAGGCCAGTTTGGGAGAATCGGAAATAGCCATTACTAGTAACTTAATTTCTTAATCCCAATGGAAGTGAAGTCACACCACTGCAAAAAGGGAAATTAGATACTAGTTTTGAACTATTAAAAAAAAAAGTAAAGACAGCAAAAATCCCAGCACTGTTTCTATAAGAAATCTGGAAACTGCCCAAGAATTACAACCAAGTTCTTCAATGAGGTAGTTAGTCCTTTTTAACCTTCATTTCAGCTGTAACCTTTGTTTAGACTGTAATTCACCATATTAATGGCTTGGAGGCTGTCATTAAGAAAATTGTACAAAATTTAGAGACATCCAAAATTTTAAAGTATTGGAAGGAAAACAAAACTTAAAATGGTTACAGTGTATTTCTAAGTGTGAACAACACAACTACAAATGAGGATCAGAAGCTATTTCAATTACTGGGCACAATTGGTTGCAGTCAGCTGTACTAAAAAGAACGGATTCTACAGAAATAACACTTGTGGAAAGATTGTGTTAAGGAACATACCATTGTAGCTGTCAAATCAGTTGGGAGAGTATATGTGCATTACAGAGAAACCTAGAGTCTAGGAGGCCATTCATTGTGATCTGCACAAATTACAACTACTCTGGACTTCAACTTAGAAAACCAAGGAGAGTTGACCAGAAGACCTCTAAAATCCTAGCTTTAAAAAAAAGTTTCAGCCAGGTGCTGGTGGCTCATGCCTGTAATCCTAGCTACTCAAGAGTCTAAGATCTAAGGATCACAGTTCAAAGCCAGCCCAGGCAGGAAAGTCCATGAGACTCTATCTCCAATAAACTACTCAGGAAAAGCCAGAAGTGGCTCTGTGGCCCAAGTAGTAGAGCACTAGTCTTGAGTACAAAGAGGCTCAGTGCCCAGACCTTGAGTTCAAACCCCAGGACTAAAAAAAATTTTAAAGCCTCATCCTGAATTGTCATGGATGCCTCTGCCATAGTAAGATACTACAAGATTTACAAATTGCCAAGCAGATGCTAATATATGTTCTTGAACTTTCCAGCTTCCAGACCCTGAACTAAATCAATCTCTATCCTTCATAAATTAAAGTTAAAATAAACTCTCTCATATTCTCAAGTTTATTTATAGTGATGGCTCTTTTAAACTCCATTCCCATCTAACTTGGGTCAGGGGCTAAGGGTAAAATAGGATGCTCTTTAAAGTAGCATTGGTCTTGGAAGCCAAAGGCTAATATTCTCTTCTTGAATCCACATGACTTTTTTTTTTTATTTAACCTTGTCCCCTCTGGCAGTCCCTTATCTTGTGCAGAAGACAACTGACCCACCTGGATAGCAAAGCTTACAAAGTCAAGACTAGAGTGGAAGCTGACTAGCCACTGAGAACAGTGCTCCCTCCCTTAAATCATGCCACCCACTTGCCTTTTACCTAAGAAAACACAAAACTATGACACTGGGCGTGGGAGGAAAGCATCTGTTTGGATAATACCAGTGAGAAGTATGTTATTTTATTTCAAAAATGTAAATATAGATGTGACAGTAAATGTTAATGC